GTTTATAATTTGTACAATTAACCTCCCTGTGGTTCGACCCCAGTCTTGCCGGGTTATTTATTACTTCGACACTCCTACACTTGAGAGAAGACATCAATCTTTTAGTCATGCCAGTCACTAAACTCATCAATGAAGCTTGACTCCAGATTATTGTATAAAGCACGTGTAAACCTTTAGAAGTTTAGGGGGAGGACTTTGCACATTGAGTTATTGTCCTAAATGACCAACTTTAAGCCACCTTGTACATTTTATACATGCTCCTTTAGGTCGATGAGATCATTATAGTTGTCTAGACTTATTTTTTTTAAAATGTAGTTCTTAGGGAGTTAATTGTTCAATACTCATTTAAACAAGGAAGAACCCCTTCATTGATGAGAGTTGTAGTCATTCTCTTGGGTTAGTCATTCTCTTGGGTATTCTCATATATAGATCTTCTCTTAATTCTTTTTTTGTTAGGCTCTTGGGAGCCTGAGTAGTTTGACATGGAACGATGGTTACGGTAATTGGTTTTCATTTTATGATAGCTAAGACGAGGACATTCAAAGTACTGGTTTTGTACATGAGTATCGCAATGATATAATCGACCCCTTAAGGAACTCTCATGATTGTCATTTTATTTAGTCTCTATGGAGTAGTGTGATTGTCTACAAGTGTCTAGTGCAGCCAGTGGCTATGGCGCTAAGGCGTTATATGTTATCAAGGGAGTTAAGACTTGTCGAGGTGGCAAGAAATGATTTTGACTTTGGGTTGTCAACATGGTTTAAATGAGAAGTTGCACCTAACTAATGAGTCATTAAAGGTCTAGTTGGGTAGACGTGTTCATAATAACGAGTAGTTTTTTTATGTTTTGTCCCATATATATCTTGGTTATATGTCATGAAATGACTTGAAAATGTCAAAAGCTTTTGATAGAAACCAATGGCTTTTTGATCAGTTGACGTCAATTGATAAGTTCTAAAATCTAAGATGTTTAAGAATAAGGCTATTGTGTTGGGTAATTAGCTAATCTTTTAGTTCAAGCAATTCGATCAAATTCTTCATAGTCAGGCAGGTAATGCCTGGTAAGGCAGGTAACGGTAACTATTGTAATAGCAGGTGGTGTTTGATAAGTTAGGTGATCGGTAACTGATATATGTAAAAGATCCTCTTTAATAGATGTGAGAACTCTCTAATGTTAAAGTCAATAACTTTATAGAGAGAGAAAGTGCAATGATATTTTAGAGAGATAAATTCTGAAAATATTTATGCTAACAATATTGAGAATAAAAAGATTGTAAACTTTTGACTTTATAAATTCATGGTATATTTATAGCTCATGAAACTTATCCTTTCATGGAAAGGAGGGGTTGAAATGTAATTTTATCCTTGTAATATTTTGAGTTGTATTTTACTCAAAATAATATGTATTGGATCCGTATAAAATATTAAGAGACCCGCATGAGGTTCGAAAAAAAAATTTAGCGATATTGGGCTTGAGAAAGGTGTCTAAACTTATTAGAGATGAAATGTAAGTCAAGGCATGCTGCCGAGACTTAAACATGCTAGGCTCAGCCATGACAGTATAACACTCATGTTCCTTTGATATTTTTTGGGGTTTTTTTTTTCTTTTAAATGATTTTTTTAAAGTTTATTTTAGAGGATATTTTAGGTTAATTCTATTTGTACCCATTACTTATCAACAAAACTTGTTTAACTTTAAAGACGTTTTTAATAATAAATAACTTTTTAAGATTATATATTTGGATATTTTCTTTTACAATCAAAAGTATTCATAATAGAGAATTAATGAAGATCAAGTCTTTTATTCTAATTATTTTTAGATGTATTAATAAATGTGTTTTATTTAAGGTCATGCTAAGGGATTAGGGTTTTTTTTTTTTGTCACCTGAGCTCATTAGCTCATTGGGGCTAACAACGGTCACATTAGGGGGTCAACAAAACTCTATATGTGTGTGTGCAGTGTAATGTTTTTTGCTTGAAGACAATAATAAGGGATAAGGACGAGCGAGGCAAAAAAAAAAAAAGACAACGTTTGATGTTTGTCCCCTTGTCTGATTTTCACTTAATTAGCTTCACACAGCTGTTTTGCCTAAGTAAAGAACAAATGTTTGATTGATTGAGCACATCATTTATAGGAAAATTAACCTACCTTCGTTTGCAAGCAAATAGTTGCAGAGAAAGCAAGATAGTGGTAAAAACAGGAGAACGGTTTAATTTCATGGGCATTTTTGGATAAAGGAAAGAGTAGGCTCGATTGTCATTATTTGTAGGCAGTACGTGACAGTACTCTAGCTAATGATAAGTGGTCCTTTAAGTCCTCCGGTGCTTATCAACATTGTGAATTTCATTTTATGAGGTATTTTATTCTTTTAATTGGAATAAAATGTTTTAATTTACGAGTGTTTTGGTATACTGTTTTGAGTTTGTATTATATATATAGTTAATAA